GAGTGAAATGTAGTCTCATAACTTCAAAATTAAGTATTTTGATATGTGATTCATCGGGAAAATCACAGCCAAAGGTTGCCCCCAAACTACGACGCGAGTAGGGCGCCCTGAATCCCAACTTTTCTGTAGTGCGTGTAGGAGGACTCCATGGCTTCCCTTGGCCACTAGAGGCTCCTGAATGTGTGGTGACTTCTAAATGCCAAAACGGGCACCAAATCTGTCTCGTGTTCTGAATGAGCCCCTCTGATGGTGGTTTCTCTCAGCTAAGGTCAAATCACTGCCAGCTCTACTTTGTGCCCCGAACAAGTGCTAGAGAGTTTTGGATGTGTGTTTTAAGCTGCGGGATGCTACAGACGAATCATAGATTATTCAAGTCATGCTGGTGGACACTAATAAAGAGAGAATTTTTATAGTCATATATTTCATATTTTCATAGTTTATATATAGTTACTAGACATTATATTTTTGTGTTATCTTACATTACGTTATTATGATATTTTAATAGGTATCATAATGGTATACAATAGTAACTTAAAAAGTATTTCAAGCTTCAATGAGTATTACACTTTATGGAGGCATCTTAATGGAAATTAAGTTGAAAGGTTATGAAGCCAATATTATTTGATTTCTAAATAAACAATTTTGACCTGGAGACTCACCCAAAGACCTTCCAATAGCTAATGAATGTCAAAAGGAAAGTTAACATTCATTCTTAACCATTCATGCATCTATGTCATCCAATATACTTTAGGGGCGACCACTCCTCTGCCACAGGTGCCAGACTAACTCCTACAAAGATGAAAATCAACCATATACTTTAGGACTTTCAATTTTCAAGTATAACATCAAGACAAAATTATAAATTTGTATTATTTTGTAATTTCAATTCTGAAGAAATAATTTGATTGAAAATTGAATTTTGAGGTATTTTGATGAAGACCTTCTCCCACTTTGGTATGGTGGCCATGAGCTTTATTTAGTGAAGAATTTAGTTTTATATTAAAACTATTAAATATAATCACTCTTTCTTCTTTAATGCATGTGCAATATATTTCATTTTTTTTAATGGTGAATTGACACTCTAAAGTTAATTTAGCCAAACTAAGTCAAAGTTAGCTTTTTTTTTACAAAATTACATGCATTTTGGCATATAAAAAGAGCTTTAATTTTTACCAAAAATAATATAATATAAAAATCTTTTTAATTCCCTTTCTAGTACTTTTTCAAACTGTGGCCTCTTTATTTGTAAATTATTATTCTAGAAAATCATCTTGTTGTTATTTACCAAAGAAGAGGTTCACCTTTCTTTTCTAACCTTAGTATCTTTGCCACTACTTCTATATCCCACCAATCACATTTGAAGGTTTCAAAAACTTAATGGATGGCTCCTATAACAATCATAAAATATTTAAAAAAAATCTTTGAATACCTGAAAATATCATTGAACTATGACCTATTAGGATTTACCTATAATTCCATGATTAATTTTTTTTATTCAATTTATAAATATTTTTTAAACCATTTTTGTCATATTGTAGTATGAATATTGTTTTATTATTATTATTATTATTATTATTATTAATATTATGTTCAGAACATTTTATTGCTCAAAAGTTTCAATATATATATATATATATATATCATTTCTTAATTTTTTATCATTGCAATAAAATTTACATAAAATTGTTATGTTGTGCACTCTTTCTCTAGACTATAGAACCATCCTTTACTCTTATGAATATTGTAAGATGTCATTTGGATATAGCCATAATTTCAGAGAAGATTGGTAGAATTGAGGAGGGCAAGAGAGTGAGTTAGAAATGAGTTAGAAATGTTATGATGTGAAGCTAAATCAAGAACTAACCTTATTTGAGATTTAGTTATTTCTTGAAATGTTGTTGTTTTCATATTTTTGAAGTTTGTAATTTTGATTTTATTTTTCCCTTCTTTTTCATATTTTTCATCATATTTTACTATTAAAATGAGTTATTGATCAATTTTTTAAATACTTAACCATTAAAATTTTTATACTTGTCCTTAAAGAAAATAAAAATTAATGATATTTAAGAAGGGTGGGCACCATAATAGTAAAGAATGAAAAATGAGATTAAATTAAAGATTAGGGTCTCATAAAAAATGAGAATGCATTCAAAATTAAATGATAGAGTACAAAATAGTAAATACTTATGTAGGAGCCTATTACATATTACATATCTCCTCTCCTTGAAAATGATCATCCATTTTACTAAAATATCTAAAGATTTTATAACTACGAGGTTCCTCAAAAGAAAGTTCATAAAATTTTTCAGTGTAATCATAATGCATTATCCATAGCTCTTGTGCTCTATTTAAGTCTAGTATGTCCTGTTAATTTGTTTGTGTTACAATATTTTTCGTAAAAGTTATTCTAAGATTGAGACATAGACAACAAACCTTTTGAATCTCCAAAGCCTTACTAAGAGCAAAGAAAAGTAATGAATATTTGATGCAAAAGTATAAATTTGATAAATAAAAATATAGCATATGAAAAGAGTAACTTAGCTTTTAAATACATATTATAAACATAATGGCACTGATTACTAAGGATTTAGCTAGAGCATATATTAAAAAATCAATATTATGTTTATTCTGAAAATTAACAAGTATAAATTTGGTAAATAAAAAAAATAAGATATTATTTGCATGACACGGCTTTAATTTTGTAAGATAAACTTAATGATACTAATTATTTACAATTTGAACAACTTCAATTAAAGAATCAACATTAATCCTATAATGAAAAATAAGAGAAGGCAACCCAAGAAAATGTAAAGGGAAACTAATACCAATAAAATTTTATGGTTGACAACATTTTAGAAGACAAGTCTCTATTGTCACCAACTTCATAATTGGAACCCCAATAATTATATCACTTCAAGTCACACTGAAAATTGAAAAAATGCATCTAGACTTTCATAGTGTATCGCCATCTTGTGTAGGGTCCTTTGAAAGTAACCAATTTACAAGGGAATACGTATAAGAAAATTGGAGCTATTCCATTTAATCTTCAAGATAAGAGAATTTAAATAGTAGTAAAAATGAAAATAAGTAAAATAAATCCAAATATCCGATTAAAAGACATTGCAACAATATGGAGAAAGGGAGTTGATCAAAATTAGGAAAATAAGTAGACATAATTTCTAATTGATCCAGAATGAAGAGGGAGATAAAAAATAAAAAACTAGTGTGAAATGACTTAAAAAAACGAAATAAACCTAAGCCCTTCACCTTTTAGGAGAAACTACAAATATTATATGAAAAATTATCTCTCTATGGTAAAAAACCAATACATTATAATTAAAAAAACTTAAGAAAATATGTAAAGAAATGACATATGAATGACTTTTAAAAAAACCAAATACACCTAAGCCCTTCACCTTTTAGGAGAAACTATAAATATTATATGAAAAATTATCTCTCTATGGTAATAAACCAATACATTATAATTAAAAAACTTAAGAAAATATGTAAAGAAATGACATATATCACCTTTTAAATAATCATGGTTTTAGAAAGAAAAAAAAAAGAACTAGAGAGCTAATAGACTAGTTATAAATGGTATAAAAAATTTCATGATGATAATAGATGGAATTAAAATTTATAGTAGTTAGGGTAAAAAAAACACACAAATGAAGGAGGATCTAGGAATTATAAAAAATCTTGCATGGATATTATTAATTAAAAGCATTATGAGGCATACACATTTAGCCAAGTTTGAATTAATATAAAACACTAAAAAAATTAGGCTATATTAAGTTATATTTTACTTTTAATATATAAACTATCACATAGCCAAGGGATAGATTTTTATGACAATTGATTTTTGGACTATGAATAGATAAATTGTTTTAAGAAAATTAGTTGAACATATATGTGACATCAAATTTTGTTTTGAGTCAAGTAATAGTAAGTAAATGCAAAAATAAGTAGGGTGATATTAACTTGGTCAGTAACTTTGGGAATGATATTTTATCAAAGCTTTGTTAGACAATAATACTAATTAAGGTTGGAAAAATCTTAAGGTTGATAATACTAATTAAGTTTTGATGATTAGGTAGAGGTGAGTATAATAAAACTTTGTTTATGTCAATTACTTGTATGTAGGATTTGTAGCAATAATGTGTGGACAAAAAAAAAACTTGATATGTAAAGATATTTATGTTGATCTTTAGTGGTTTTCTAAGCTTGTTGACAGTAGGTACAAGATTTCATGGTGGTGCATTCAAAGTTGATAATTAGGTTAAAGAAATTTGTAAAATTAATGCAACATAACTTGAATAACTGATATTTGGGATAAGAGTTTAGTGCCAACAAAAGTGTTATACTTTGAATAACGAAGATGCTTTTGCATTATAAATTTTATGGTGGTGCATTCAATGTTTCTCCTATTTATAAAAAACATGATATAATGATGATATTACATTTTTCCCCTTACTTTGAAGGGGTTTGTAATTATGATATTTTTGCATGCATAGACTTCTTTTTTGACTACTTTCTAGCTCAATTAAATAAGCATAGTTGGCTTCAAATTGATGGGATCGGCTCGGTTAGCTGAACTTGATAAGTATGGGTCGATCGACTGATCTAGTCTGATTGTTAATCATTGATACCTAGTGAAGCGCCTCTAGTGCATTCATGTGATGGTCGAAGATATTGTAGAACATTATCTTCCCTTGGATCAACTTTACTGAAAGGTAGACTATTGTATTAGGTTAACTTTTTTATAGTGATTGGCTCAGTTGCTCTTCTCTCTGATATGTGTGTTTGCATGTGCATTATGAATATACGAGAAAAATATATGAGAAATGAGTGATATGTATGAGATCTTTTAAAAATATTAATGTATACTAATTTGAACACAAAGGTATGGCAGAAAAAAGGGGAGCTTTGACCAAATGATTGGCGACTGACGACTGGAAATGTCCTACGTGGCTAGCTCCGTCACTGACAAACACAAGCAAACTGAGACAGCAATGTAACGGAGAGTGACGGACTCCTCCCATCACCATGAGCATGCTGGAACCCTTCGTCCTCCTTTCCGCACTTCTACGCTTCAGCCCCTCATAGAAGTTAAGAATCCTAAACGAAATAGAGGGATCGCCAATCGTAGCTTCTGGGCTTTCCCTGCGGCGATTTCTTCGGAGTTCTTTCAGCTGGAGATGGCCAGGCTAGATCCGAAACCCTTGGTTGGTTAATGGTGTTTATTGATGTATCGGTCTGCGATTTTGGCTCTTCGAGGCCGGACCTTTCTTGGTGAGCTCTTCGGTTTCCTGGAAGCTCATTTTTTTTGCGCCCACTAACGGTGTGAGATTTTCCTTGATCCATGAACTGAGTGATGGTATTTCTTTGTTCTGGCGTAGAAAGTTTGTTTTCCTGTAAAAATGAAATTTTAGTTAGGATTTCGTGAGTTTCATGTAAGTGGATAAATGGATGGTCTAAAAGACGCGGCTTGGTAGCTTTAATGGAGTGGGGAGTATCGATGATCTCTCTTTTTCTCACTATATCTCCAATGCATTTTTGTTCCTGAGAAACCTAATACATTTTTCTTTAGAAATAGTTTACTTCTAAAATTTCGGGAACTCTAGCAGCTTGTTATTATCCTGCATCGTTGGTTTTTTCCTTGACACTTTCTTAATGCAAACCTCTTTCGTTAAGTAACAAATTCATAATCCATTTGTTGTCATTGACAAATGGTTTTCTTGCATTTTGATTTTATTTGATTGCATTTTAAGGTTTGTTCTTTATTTCTGCTACTGTCAGTAAGCTAAGGAATGCAACTGAAACTTTTTTTGCAGATCAACTAGTGACTTCCATAGGATTTTCAGTATTCGTCTAATAGAATTTTGGAGGTATTGTGCGTTATCTGTTTCAAGATGGGAGCAAATTGTTGTGTAGCTGCAAGGGGCAAACCGTTGCCTACTAGGAATGTTCATGAGGTGTCTACTTACAGGAACAGTAGATACTCCCCTTCTTGGAGCTTTCGGTGGGACAACAGAACTCACATTGAGGACATTGTGGAAAACATGGTGTATTTTTCTCATCATAACAGTGGAAATGCTACCTCTGAAGTTAAGAGTGCAGCAGATACAGAAACTGATGGCCTTTCTGATAGTGAAAGTCCACCTAAAGCTTTTTCATCTTCCCAATGGAGAAAGCCCTGTGTAAGTGAAGGCTCTAATAACTTCAAATTCATTGCTTCAGGTAAGTTGTTTTTTTTTGTTGATCACTTTTGTATTACTTGCGTAAAATGTTAATTAGCTGGGCTCCTTCTAATAACTGATTAATCTTCTGCAAGTATGAATTATTCTACCATATTTATGAGCAGCTTTTAGAATGATCATTAAGAAGTTATCTGGAATTTGGAAGGACTTATATATTGCCTGGCATATATATATATATATATATCTGTGTGCGCGCGCGCGTGCGTCGTGCGCGTGTGTGTGCGTGTGTTTATATTATTAGCATCATAAAGATGCAACAAAAGAAAATAATCATGTATTTTGCTTGCTGTAGGGTGGGCACAAACTGAAATTTTGTTTAATTTAGAATCTCCCCTCTTTTCTTTCTTTCATGATTCATGAATAGTTTCAGTCAATTTAGCAGATTTAAAGGGCCATGGAGAGTTAACGCAGGAGTTTTAGTTTTCCCTTAACCAACTTATTGAAAAAGCTCTGTTCAATCAATAATCCCATCATCATTACTTCATTAAATGCAATGAATATGCAATTTAGACGGTTCCGAGTTATTGAGATGAATAATACTTGGTAAAGTTTTTCTATTCTTGACAATAACTGAACTCAGACCTTTATATATGATAACTATTTGGCATCATATATTCTTGCTCCTCATCTCTTTGACAAGTTATTTGCTTCAATGACTTTATAGTAATCTTGTATTGCACTTCAACATAATCATATGCTGTCATAATCTTCTACTTTGATTGAATTTTATTGCTCGTATATCCATTTCACTTTTAAGTATCCCACAGATAGATACAAGGATCTGTATTATTTGAAAGCCATAAGAGTGATGACCTGAAACAGTATTTACTTTGATTTCATTGTGATTGGAGGTCACAGGATTAATTAACAAGTAGAACCTTTCTACAAATGCAATTTTCCGATGCTGATATTTCAATTGCTTGACATAAACCACCAATGAGTGTTTACAATTATAGAACAAGGACTATGTAATGTTTTACTTGCGTCCCTAATAACGTAGGTTTTGATGCTATAGGAGACTTTCTATCAACTATGGCCTTCGATTAACTTTAGAGGTGAACAGGAATGAAGAAGGCAGCTTCAAGTAGGGTGTCGTAGTCAGCGGCTAGGCATTAATAGAGAATTGGAGGACTGCATAGATATTTCTGCAGTTATAACAGAAGGCCAAAGAACCAACGGTTTGGTTCACTAGGGCACTATAGCCATGCCTTCAGTTAACTACAACAGCTTGTAGGACTAGTCAACAAAAGAAGACGAGGAAGATGGGAAATATTTTAGATTTTATGGACTTCCTTTCTTATTTTTTCAGGAAATATAACCTTTTTTTATGGTCAATCCAGTAAGGATAAGTTCTTATCCTTTACTAAACAATATCCATAAAGAAAGCAGACTTGTCTACAAATAATGGTCTTAGATAAATTCAAACAAAATGATAATACTCGTAGAAATTATCTTAATATTAAAATTCAAATAAAACTAATCTAAATAATTAAATGAAATTTAAATTCATTCTTATCCTGCTCTAAGATGAAATTCAATCTGACAAATTTGCGTCAAAAACTTATATTTTTCTCATTTGATTGTCAATTGACGATTCGTTCTCACTTTTAGACTCCTATAAAACCTCTCCAGTATTAATGTTGTGATTTGAGAATCATCATTGTTGGCAATTTATTTATGAAAATCAAACAATTTGAACTTTAAAGGACACCTCTTTTTGAACTTTTCATTATCTGATGCCCAAAACACAATCAAAAGTGATTTGATTGATCTCTTACTAAATTTAATCTGCATATCACGGTTTCCTCGTTAAGTTGGATTTCACCCTTATGAAAATAATGCTCATAATAAGTAGTTTTACTACTATATTATTTGAATTTTCTTGGTAATTGATATTTTAGGGGCCTCTATTATGCTTTAAAGAACCTTGGATGTTTTACTTCTATAATAATATCTTTTTTTGTGTGTTGGCCAAAACTGAGAAGACACTTATTTCTTTGAATTTCTGCTTGAATTGATAAGAAGGTTGGTCTTTAAGATCTTTCAATCATAGAGACTTTTAAACTTGTGACAGAATACGCTTCATCATTTTTTTTGAAAATCATGCTTTTCTTCCTTTTTTTAGATGTCTGTGTAGCTGAAGGTAAACCATTACATAACTATTCATGGTTTTGATTACATCTTGATTGCCTTCACTTAGGTGGAGTCAATTTTTACGATTGAGTTTTAGAACATTTGTAGATTTCGTAGGTGTCTGTTGTAGATGGGTTGCATTTATTGCTATTTTATCATCATTTACATTTGCATGCCATTTTCTTTGCTTAAGGTAGTGATATCATAACTCTTTTTTTCTTCAATAGGGTGGTCAAACATCAAGAAAGCCTTTTTGGTTTACACTGATAATTGTAGCTGCATTTGATAAGAGTGCCTGACTTTTATTACGTCTGCCAATGACATGCTAAAGTGCTTTTCAATGGAAATGTTTTTCATGTAATTGGAAATAAATAAGGTCGTAGATGTATTCTTATAGAAGAAGATACAAGTGAAAAAGACCTATTAAATGCTAAGTGGAATCGACTCATATGCTTTCTCATCGATATATCTAATGGCGAGTGCAAACTTCAAGCAATATTGGCGATCTATGTTCATCTTAGGTATTGAATCTCATCAATAAAATATAGTGGCTATCTAATAAGTTATAGTAGCTTTTATTTCTTCTAAATTGAATTCATCGATTGCTATTGAAACCTAATTGCATTATTTTACTGTGATTTAGATGATCTCTTAGATGTTGGTCATATCATTGTGACAAATTTACATTTTAGAATTGCTACTATTATGCATTATGTAAATGAATATAGAATATATGGAATTGAATGAAATAAATGTATGAATAATATGAACTACATATGTTGATTGCATGTGGTGTTTGCTTGACTATGATAATGTTCACTCGTTTATAGTACTAACGGGGGAGCACTAGCTTGCTTGACTATGATAGTGTTCACTCGTTTATAGTACTAACGGGGGAGCACTAAGGTGGGTACGTATATGGAAAATGATATTGATATTTGAAACATCTTAAATGATATAATTTTAGACGGTGTTTCTATGACAGTTCTACAAATATAAAATGATATATACATATTGTTGATATATTAAAACAGATTGAATGTTATGAAATATCGTGATCGGTGATATTTATAAATTATCAAATATTTTATCTGATTTATTAAAAAGTTTAGCTGACATATATATTGTTTCATTTTCGTTATGTTACTGTAGTTTAGAAGTAGATGTACCCACTGACATTTATAGTTTATTGTTTTAATTTAATATTACAGGTTTAATCATTTCTTTAAAAGATGAACAATAAAAGATGAAATGTTTATAAAAGATGCAGACAATCAAAATTGAGATAAATTTAGCCGTATTAATTTTATTTTTTTTTATAAGTTCTCTTTGATTAGTAAAATTTTTGTTATATAAAATTAATATAGAAAAATTTAGTTTTCATCGTCTGATCGTCTGTTCCCATTTTAATTAATTTCAAACTCTAGGTTGGGTCGTGACAATTTTCATCTTTCTTTTTATTTATTTATTTTAACGGTTAGGATTGAGGTGCTCTTTACAGCGCCACAACACTACTCCCAGAAAAAAAAATTTTGTGCTAAAAGTCGAGAGTATGGAGTATTGGAGTGTAGTGTTAGAGCGTCTCAGTGCTACATCGCAACGCCGATTTTGGGAGGGATTTCGATTTCTCTTGTGCAATGGAGTGCAAGTGTCATTGTGTCAAAAGCGTAAAGTGGCTTGAGTTTACAGTAATATGATTTTCCTTATTTTTTTTCATAGTTAATTTCTTAATATGACATGACTCCGTGATTTTTTCCCTTTTTCTAGTTTTTCCACGTTAAATTTGGTGTTTTATTCGTTCTGTTTTTGTTAGTTTTTGCTCAAAGTTTTGCTTCAGATCTTTCCAATCGATTCCCACAATTTACTTCTCCCTACAACTACCAAAGGAAATGCATTATCAACAAAATTCTTTATCCATTAGTTACCTTCCTATGGCTCAAAAATGTCAAGAATGTATTTGTGCGGCGCAAATGCATTCTTCTTTGCAAAAGTGTTTTGATTTTCCTTTGTAGGACACATCACAATGCTTCATTAGCAAATTCATACTACTTCTTAATTTTACTCTTGCATTTTAATGGATGCAACACAACTACTGCAGTATTGCTATTTGGGCATCCTCTTTTACCCAATATGTGTATATATATTTTTTATATAAATCATTCTTTATGTTTTTTGCTTGTTAATTTACAAAAGGTCTAATGTGTGATTCCACTATGAACTTAAGCTTTATCATTTGCAATATACTACAACAAGAACAACAAGCCTTTATCCCACTAAGTGGGGTCGCCTACATGAATTCGTTTTCTCCATTGTGTCCTATTAAGTGTCATATTTTCATTTAATTCTAATAAATTAAGATCATTTTTATACAACATGCCCAAATCTGTTTAGGTCGACCTCTACTTTCTTAACATATTTCAAATCTAATACATTTACTCTCCTAACAACGTTATTAGATTGTTGATATTTAATGTGACCAAACTATCGTAAGGCTACTCTGTTTAATCTTGTCTGACACTAGAGTTACTCCAACATTTTCATGGATATATTCATTTCACATTTTGTCTCTAAGTGTAAAGCCACCCATCCACTTGAGCATTCTCATCTTAGCAACACTTAATATTATGCTTCTCTTTCATAAGTCAACATTCCGCGGCAAAAGCATTGTAGGTCTCGCCATCTTATAAAATTTTCCTTTATCTAAGCGGTACTTTTCCAACATTTGCAATATGCTGATTTATATTTATCGGTTTAGATAACATGTATAGGTTTGTCTTTTATGGTGTCTCTGAATTATCCAGGGCAGCAAATAAAATGCCATTATGTGCTTCACGTGTGACTGTAATA